CTGTCCTTATCCCCTGCCTGCCTCTTGCTTCCCACCAGGCTATAGCATAGACTGGGCAACCTGGAGATAGAAGGTGGGCTCAGGATTTCTAGGTCAGCACTACCCTGGCCCAGAGAATTAAAGAGCCAGGGGACCAGAGAGGAGAGGAAGGTTTTAAAATGAAAAAAAGAAAAAAGAGCCCGAGACCAGCTAGGTTAGTGGTGTTTGGGATAGACTGCACTCTGACTGTAGTGAGGCACTGAGCTATAGCACCAGGACCCTAGACGGGCTGTAGGCAGGAACATCCCAAAGAAGGGCTGAGGATGGCCCTGGCCAAGATACCTGCTGACCTCACCTGTCTATTGGGTGAGAGTCCTCTCCTGCCCTGGTTGGAGCGAGCTGGCTGACATTCAGCTGCAGTGTGAGCCCAGGCCCTCCAGTCTCCCTGCAGGGGCTTGGGCCAGAGCACAGTGAGGGTCTGGTGATAGGGGAGGGGCCTGCCTGGAGGTTGCAGTGGTGTAGGCAAGAGACCAGCATGTGCAGAAGGAAAGCATGGAACATGGACCAAGTGGCAGGCAGTTTGCTGTGGAAGGACACATTCCAGATGGACAGGAGAGAGGTCTAGAAGAAGAGGCAGGCATGGGATCAAGTTACCCAGGGCTTTGAATGTAAGGCCAGAAGTTTAAATTTAGTCCCGTGGGCAGGATCAGCCAATGGAGGTTTCCAATAGAGCAGAGTGCTCAGAAAGCCCCTTCTAGCCACAACGTAAAGAGCAGATTAGAGGGCCTGAGACCAGAGGTATGAATATTGTCAGCTTCCTTAGTCCTCTGGAACTGGGAAAGTGTCATTATCCTCATGTGAAAATGAGGAAACCGAAGGCTCAGAGAAGTAGGGTGGGTTGCCTAAAGCCACATGGTAAGTCGCTGGCAGCACCAGGGATCACACCTGGCTCAGCCTGTTTGCAAAAGTGAGCGCTCTCACCCATTCTGCTAATAGGGCGCAGGCCAGCCAGTTAGCTGAGAGCACGTGTGTGTGTGTGTGTGTGTGTGTGTGTGTGTGTGTGTACACATGTGCGTGCGCACGCCTAGCTGGCCTGTTGCCAGGTTTCCTGCCCTGAAACAGGGTGAGGGGTGCGGCTGTCCCCCAGCCTCAACCACACCCTCACCGGGGCTGACTGGTTCTAGCTGGTGTTGCTGGCGAGGGCTGCCCAGGCACTAGCTCGTAAACACAGACCCAATGCTGTGGGCGTTGTGCCAGGACTGCCAGCCCATCAGGCGATGTCCCAGCCCGGTGGCCACAGATGGGAGATTAGGTGGACCCTCAGCCGCCCAGCGGGTGGGAACAGTAGACAGCTGGTGCAGCAGCCGTGGACTGGCAGACTGCAGGGGACAGGGTGGGGTGGGAAGGTGACCTTGGTACCTGGGTTGCTGGGATCTTGCCAGTTTCTTTAGCTGCTCTAGCCTCCAGAGGAGAGTCCCACCAGCCTCACTGACCCTGGGGTCAGCCTCTCCTAGGATTGGTACACATTGGTTAAGCAATTGGATGGGTAGCAAGGCATGGATCCTAAGACCTGGTTGGTGACTTCCCCGACAGATAGGAAGTGCAGGCTCCACTGGGGCAGGCCTTAGGATTTTTTTATATAGCCAGCTTGACTGGCCATAGGGAAGGAGGTGGCTGGGGACAGACCCCTAGAGGGACTGAAAGGTACCACGAAGCCATGGGAGGAGTTGGCAGCTGTCTCTGCCACTCAGGTCCTCTGATTCCTGTGATCCTCTGTGTTGAGGTCAACTCTTTCTTCTAGGCTTCTTACTCCCTGACCTGTCCTAGATTTTTGTTTCCTGTGATCCCAGAGGTCCCTCTCAGGCCTTCCCCTGAGTTGGGCTTGTCCAGCATTGCTGGCCAGGGCATGCCTGGGCTCACGGACTCCTGAGTCTCATCTTGTCTCTCTTGGAGCAGCAGAGCCTGAGCCCAAGTTAGCTGGTGGTTGGTGGAAAGATCTCCACACTTTGGAGGTCAGACCTCAGTTTGAAAAGCTTTCCATGCTGTCCAGCCCTTGCTTGCAACCTGGAAGTATAGTCTTTAGCCTGTGGAGCCAGTCTCTGAGCCCATGCCAGCAGATGGGACCAGGGAGGTCTGAGTGAAGGGTAGCCATTCCAGGGGAGCTCCCCATGGGGCCTGTAAAATCATCCACCTTCCTTGGCATGGAGAGGTGTCGGAAAGAAGCCTGGCTGCTTTTGTAAGTTAGCGTTGGGAGGGACCTGGAGCCTGGGCTTACCTCTTCTTTCCTCATGCCCAGCAGATCCAATTTGCTTGGGTAGGAAGTGCTTGTTCCCATCCACAGCCCATGTGCCCACCATTGTACTGTGCCCAGCTGACGTCTGTGTAGGCAATAACCATCCCTCAGCAGGAACTGGCCTGACAATTTGGTTCCTGCTGTGATGCTGAGGGGCTGCCTGGAGGATGGGAGGAGGAGGTGTTCTATAAGGGAGGGTGCAGAGAGGGCCTTGGGGCACTCAGTTCCCTCCATCCCTGTGGATTCTCAGGCGTGACCTTCCCTCACCAGCCCACAGACACCTGTTTTTTTGTTTGTTTTGAGATGGAGTGTCGCTGTGTCACCCAGGCTGGAGTGCAGTGGTGCAATCTCGGCTCACTGCAACCTCCGCTTCCTGGGTTCAAGCAGTTCTCTGCTTAAGCCTCCCAAGTAGTTGGGATTACAGGTGACTGCCACCACGCCCAGCTAATTTTTTTGTATTTTTAGTAGAGACAGGGTTTAACCATCTTGGCCAGGCTGGTCTTGAACTGTTTACCTCATGATCCACTCACCTTAGTTTCCCAAAGTGCTGGGATTACAGATGTGAACCACCTCGCTCGGCCACACCTTGTTTTCTGAGGCTGAGGAAGGGGAGGTTTGGAAAGATTTGGGGAAAAGGAAGGCAGAGCAGCAGGGGGATGTCAGAGGACCCCTGCAAGCCTGGCCTTCTGTGAGATGCGGGGGTGAAGGAGACTGCAGCCTGAAGCAGACAGCCAGCTGGGCCCTTCCCTGGCACTCCTGGGTGGGAGGCTGTAGGCAGCTGCCACTTGGCTGATTCACAGAAGTGTTTCATGGGCTTTTGCCATAAGGGCTGCCCTGGCTCCCCTGCCGTGGGTGTGTTTGTACCCACCTTGAGAAGGGCTGGGGAGGGGAGGAGGGAACTCCAGAGCCTCCTTGCCTGTGTTGAGCAAGCTCCATGCTCTGCACAGGCCTACCTGGAGTCCTTCTACAAGTTCTGCACCCTACTGGGCGGGACTACAGCCGATGCCATGTGCCCCATCCTAGAGGTGAGTGCCTGCCTGCCCTCCTGCCTGCTGGTGCCCACTAGCCCTGGCCTGGGGGAGTCTCTGCCAGCTGACTAGCTACTGCCTCCTTCTTCCTCCCTTTCTCCTTGCCTGTGCACCGGCTCCACAGTTTGAAGCAGACCGCCGCGCCTTCATCATCACCATCAATTCTTTCGGCACAGAGCTGTCCAAAGAGGACCGTGCCAAGCTCTTTCCACACTGTGGGCGGCTCTACCCTGAGGGCCTGGCACAGCTGGCTCGAGCTGATGACTATGAGCAGGTCAAAAACGTGGCTGATTACTACCCGGTGAGTGCCCTAGCTGGCAGGATGGTGGGTGGGTGTGTTGTCACTGAGCACCCCCACCCAGCACCCTCATGCTCGTGCTCCCCCCCACCCTCCTGGCCAGGAGTACAAGCTGCTCTTCGAGGGTGCAGGTAGCAACCCCGGAGACAAGACGCTGGAGGACCGATTCTTTGAGCATGAGGTGAGTCTTCGGGGCCTGCTTGTCAGAGGGAGGCCAACTTGGTGTTTTAGACCTCACTCTGTGGCCATGGCCACCTGGACACTACATCTGCCTGTGTCTACAGGTGAAGCTGAACAAGTTGGCCTTCCTGAACCAGTTCCACTTTGGTGTCTTCTATGCCTTTGTGAAGCTCAAGGAGCAGGAGTGTCGCAACATCGTGTGGATCGCTGAGTGCATCGCCCAACGCCACCGCGCCAAGATTGACAACTACATCCCTATCTTCTAGCATCCGGGCCCAAGGCTCTCAGTTGCACTCGTGCGTGTCTGTGTGTGTGTGTGTGTGTGTGTGTGTGTGTGTGTGTGTGGTCTGTGGCAAGCCTGTGGCTCACCTGCCTGCCCAGGGTGTAGCACACTGTCCTAGCAGCTGCCCAGTTCCCCTGACCCTCTTGGAGACTGTTTGTAGGCCTGAAAAGGGGCTGGGCACCCCCCACCAAGGATCGACCAAGACCCCCTCCAGAGCAAGGAAGCCCCCTCAGCCCTGTGTTTACAGCCGATGACATGTTTAAGAAGCATGTGGTCACTTTCATGTTCCTCCCTAGCCTGAGAACCCGGGGGGTAGTGCGAGCCTCCTCTCGCCTCTGTGGGTCACTTCCAGAGCCATGGCCCATGGGAAGGATAGTGTGTGTGTCCTTGGGGCCTGGAGGATGTTACTCCTCACTCCCTCCCTCAGCCCTGCCCCTCTGAGACAATAAAACTGCCCTCTCTAAGCCCAACTGTCTGCTGTCTCCTTTAGGCCCTAGTACTTCTCCATGACTCCTAACTTCCCTTGTGACCCCCACCTTGCTAAGTACCCCTGCCTAAGCCTCCACCCCCCTCCCTCAGTCGGCAGCCCAGATTCTTCAGGGTTGGGAAGTCCCAGGAAGATAGGTCCTTCCTCTGCTAGAGGCTCAGATGCATACAGGCCTGGGGAGCTTGGGTGATGGCCCTGGAGGGACCCGGGCCTCCCTGGTTGCTTCAAACAATTAGGATCAGAGTCATTACCCCCATTTCACTGTGAGGAAACCCATGATTCTTAAATGATCTGCCTGAGGTCAGTGGAGGAGGGGGAGGTGTGAACCACAGTCTACCAGGGGAGTCCCAGCCCCCATGCTGAGCCCCAGGAGTTGCCACCCTGTCACACGGCCACACCGTATCACTCAGCCAGCCATCCAGTCACTCCCTCAAAACATAGCATCTGTCCCATTCTAGAAGAAATAAAAATTTGTCTTCATTTAAAATGTGGCAATTGGAAAGTAGAGTAAGTGCTTCCCTGTGGCTTGGGGGTGGGTAGTTGGGGCCCTAATTCTTGAGCCAGTCAAGAGACAGTTGGGATTTAGCCCTCAATTGCAGCATTGAGGCACTGGTGCTCAGAAACAATCCTGAGGGGGTCCCCAACCCACCCAGTCACTCCTTAGTTTGCAGACACGCTATCTGCAGAGTCCTGTGAAAGGCTGCAGTGAAGTCTTGCATGAGACTCCCATCCAGCAGAGTTCTCCAAGCTGCAGGGTAGAGCATTGTGCCAGGAGGGTCTGTTTGGGCAGTGGAGAAGTGCAGAGGCTCACTGGGAAACCTCGGCCTCACCGGGCCTGGATTGGGCATTGGCAGTGGGTGCCGGGTAGGGGTGGGATTTTTTAGGCGAGGGTCCAGGACAGACTTGGGGGATCATAATATACTCAGGGTTTGCAGGGAAGAGCCAAGGGCTCATGGAGCCTCCTGTGCTGCAGTGGCTAGGCCACATGTGCACACGGCTTACTGAGTCACTGCTGGGGAAGGACCTGGGCTCAGGTTTGGATCCCGGGCTGGGTCCTTCGGTGGGGTAGCACCAGGCTGGCCAGGCTGCAGTGCTTGAGGCAGGCAGTGACTGATGAAGAAGGTCTGCAGGAAGCGGCGTCGCAGGCCCTCAGGCAGGTAGTAGTGGATGAAGTACATGAGCCCCACGCCCTGGCCGGGGTAATAGCGGCGGCGGGGCTGAGCTGCCAGCAGCGCATCTATGATATCATCTACAACCGGACTGAGGTCAGGCAAGGCCAGGTGTAGGGAACGCAGAAACTGCGCGTTCAAGTGCTCAATGTAGTCCTTGCCGTAGGCCTGCAGCAGCTCTTGGGGCAGACTGGCCAGCAGCAATTGCTTGCGCCGCTCCCAGCGACCCACGTCTTTCACTGACTCTGGGGAAGGAGTGGCAAGGTCAGAGTGGGGTCAGCTAGGGGAGCCAAAGCCAGTTAGATCTATTTAACCCGAGCCAGGTATCCAGCCAAAACCAAGTACCCGACCAAAGCCATGCCCCCCGCCCCGCCCCGTAAGACCATTTCCAGCTCTGTTCCCTATACCCATCCCACCCCCAGCCCTGATTCCTACCTGTCCTGAAGCAGCCGGGCTGGATGGTGCTGACCTTGACTCCCCAGGGAAGGAGTTCACAGCTGAATATGTCCATGAGCAGTGCCACGGCCGCCTTGGAGGTTCCATAGGCCCCCAAGCATGGATATGGCATGTCCCCTGTGTATGGATTGGGAGTGGGGCAGCTCAGCCTTGGCAAGGGGCTCCCTGAGCTCTCCCCCACCCCAGGGGGCTCCTTTTTGCTCCTGTGGGGAGGGCACTCACCCGCTGGGCTGCCCACAGTCACGATGCGGCCCCTTGAGCTGCGCAGCAGGGGCAGGAGGCCCTTGGTCAGCTCGAGTGTGCCAAAGAAATTCACCTCCATGCAGCTGCGGAAAGTGGCCACTGGAGACAGCTCCACATCGGCTACTACTTCATTGAGGCCTGCATTGTTGACCAGGCCCCACAGGCCTGGGGTCACAGAACAGAGGAGGGAAGCCTCAGGTCAGCCCAAGAGCAAGCCTCCAGTCCCCCCAGCCCATGTCCTTTCCACCGCCCCGCCATGCCCTTTCCTGGTGGACACTTGCCACTGACCAGTGCTGGTGGTGTGGGCCTTGGTGAACTCTAGCACGTGGCTAATGTCTGCTGATTTGGTCAGGTCCAACTGCAGCAGCCTTAGGCGAGGGGAGCAGCAGGTACGCAGCTCGATGGCACCGGGGCTGTTCAACTCCATTACAGTGGCCAGCACCGTGAAGCCCATGGAGTCCAGTTTCTTGGCCGTCTCCTTGCCAAAACCAGAGTCACAGCCTGGCCAGGGCAAGCAGTCAGTGAACTCCACTGTGGCCCAGCCCAGCCTGAGACAACCCCAGAATCACCAGGGTCTGGATGGGATCCAGGCCCCTGCCTCTCACTATGTTGCCCTGCACACTGAAGCCACCAGCAATCAACAACCCTAACTCCCTCCCCAGGCCCATCTCTGACAGGCTTTGCCTCTCTAGCTGAACCCTGGGCACCAACTCTATGACAGCTGTCATCTGCCTGACTCCCCATGGCTACCCCATCAACATGGCTTACAGAAGAGGAAACTGAGGCCTAGTAATGCTAAGTTGCTTCCCAAATTCATGCAGGTCAAGTCAGGGACAGTCCCAGGCCCCAATATGGTTCTGCTTGCTTGATTTTAGGCCACAGCTCACAGGCACAGTATTAGCACAGAGCACAGAGCCTGCCTTCCTTTCTCTCTCTCTCTCTCTTTTTTTTTTTTTTTTTTTGAGACAGGGTCTTGCTCTGTTGCCCAGGCTGGAGTGCAGTGGCGTGATCTTGGCTCCTCCCAGGCCCAAGTAGTCCTCCCTCCCTTCCCTCCCTTCATCTCCTGAGTAGCTGGGACTACAGGCATGTGTCACCACGCTTGGCTGGTTCTTAAATTTATTTTTTTTTTTTTTTTATTTTTTTTTTTTTTTTTGAGACGGAGTTTCGCTCTTGTTACCCAGGCTGGAGTGCAATGGCACGATCTCGGCTCACCGCAACCTCCGCCTCCTGGGTTCAGGCAATTCTCCTGCCTCAGCCTCCTGAGCAGCTGGGATTACAGGCACACGCCACCATGCCCAGCTGATTTTTTGTATTTTTAGTAGAGATGGGGTTTCACCATGTTGACCAGGATGATCTCGATCTCTTGACCTCGTGATCCACCCGCCTCGGCCTCCCAAAGTGCTGGGATTACAGGCTTGAGCCACCGCGCCCGGCCAATTTTTTTTTTTTTTGCAGAGATGGAGTCTCGCTGTGTTGCCCAAGCTGGTTTTGAACTCCTAGGCTTAAGCGATCCTCCCACCTTGACGTCTTAAAAGTGCTGGGATTGCAAGTGTGAGCCACCATATCCAGCTTCTCTTCCTTTCTGACTGCCAGGCCTCTCTTCCCTTCATCTCGACTCTGAAGCAGCCCCTTCTCTAGTCCTGTCCCTTCCTGCCCTCTTGAAGCCCTTCTCTACCTAAACAGCCAGAGGGATCGTTCCAAAAATGACAATATCCCTCTTTGGTGCAAACCTTTCCAAGGCTGCCCACAGTCCTCAGAATGAAGCCCAAGCTCCCTGACTCAGGCCCCATACAACCTGAGCCCCACCTCCCTTCCCAGCCTCAACACCCTCTACTATTTTTTCAGGCTGGAGGCAAGCTGGAGGCCCATCCCCACTTCACCCAGACCCTTGGAATTCCAATCAGTGGCAACAGGGGTGTTTTCTAAGCCCCAGACTACTTGCCTCCAGAACAGGGACCATGATGGATGGAGAAGAGAACAGACCTACATTTGAATCCTTTCCCACACCCACCAAGTGTGACCGAGGTCAGTTATCACTCTTGGAGGTTTAATTTCTGTCTTTGGTATGTGAGAGAAGAACCACCAGGCAGAGCCAGTGTAGGGGTCTGTAGTACTGATAAGCCCCAGCCTCCTTGATTGTTCCCATGCTGGTCCTGGCTCCATGGGCAGCCAGTGAGGGAAGGGGAAAGGCTAGTGAGGTGGGTGGCTTTCTGCCCTGCCCCCCCTCCTCCCACCCCTGGCCCTCAACCCCACCCCCTTCTGAAACAGAAGCTGCAAAGCAACTCTTCTTCCTAATTCCTGGACCCCTCATTACTGTCTCCCCATCTCAGCTCCGTTCCCTCTGCTGAGAACAGCACTGGGCAGGGGGCTTTGAGCAGGGCTGTGTGCGGCTCCCGCCCATGCTGACGACAATGGATCCTTCCCAGGCAAGTCGGCCTTGGAGAGGTAGGAAAGCTGTGTGTGTGTGTGTGTGTGTGTGTGTGTGTACACACGCATGCATGCGTGCACTTGCATGCGGGTTCCTTTCAGAGCAGACAGGCCCTCCCAATGGAAATGGACCTCCCAGTTCTGAGCAGAGCTGACCACAGGCCTCCGCTCTGTGGTCCCAACACAGTCACCCACATCTTGCACACCCTCTTGTTTACATCCACACACTCAGATACCTGTAGGTACTTCCAGCCTGGCTGGATGTTCTTACAATGGGCTCAACTCCTACCACCCATTGGCGCACACATGTGCACCTGATCCTCAGCCCAAACTGACCCCACGGCTGAGCTCCAGCAGTAGCCTTGGCAAGTGGTTCTCCGAGCATTCTTAGGAGGGGCAGAGAGAGTAGCAGCTCCGGCGGGCCCAAGACACAGTGTTCTTGGCAGGTGGGGCCAAGCCTGGTCACCTACTTGTCTTGCAGCTGGGTGTTGAGAGACAGCCCCCAAGTGTTCAGGCCCTGGGAAGCTTGGAGACCTCCTGATGCTTGTACAGGGCAGGTTGGTGGTCCTCTCTCCCCCAACCCCAGCTTTGCAACCAGAGATTGGGGGAGCCCAAGTCAGAGAAAGCATCCCTTCTCTCACCTCTTTCTCAGGCTCAAGGCCAGAAGCAACAGCAGCAGCACAAAGGCCTGAGGTGAGATCTCAGGAAAGACCGCCTGGGTAGGCCTCTAGTACCTGCAGATGGCCTGGGTCCTGTTGAAGTGGCTCACAGATTAAGAAAGCAGGAGGGGATCTGCCCTGTCCCCAGAGGCCGAGCCCACATCCTGGCCCCTGCTTCATACCAGTGGTGTCTGTTGGCTTTCCTTCCTCAAACCCCAGAAACTGGGATCCCCTGAGGCTTCAAACTGCTCCTGGAACCTGGGTCTCTCCTGTCCAGCCCAAACACTGCCCCATCTCTACCATCTTTGCTGGAGTGCACGGCCCTTGCGCTTCCTTCCCCCCTACTCTGCCTCAGCAGTCTGGCTTCTTACCTGATTCGTGGCCCCTCCCAAGGAAACAACCTCATGTCCCCCCCTCCCCGCCCCCACAGCTAGACTGGCTGTCCCCTAAAGAGGCCATGTGTACTCCTGCCTTAAGCCTTTGTCCCACATCCTTTCTCTGATCCGAGATACCTTTCATGCTCCACTTATCTCCACTCATCCTCCGAGGCCCCACTCAAGGATTTCCTCCTCCGGAAAGTTCTCCCAGCCCCATCTGATCACACAGGACCCCTACTAGACTGAGGTCTCTGAGAAGCCAGCTTGCTGGCTGCCCCAGCCAAGGCCCAGTGCAAGGACAGCCCAGAGCACCTGTCCAAAGCCATGGGTGTTGGGGGAGAGACCAGGCTGCCCCTCCCCCCATGCAATGGAGTCAGTGCCCCCTGGCCTTTCTCCCCCTCCCCACTTCCGGCCGGGCCTCCAGCCCCCCTTCCCCTTCCCTCCTGCTGGTGACAGATTTATTCCCTGCTCCAGACAAAGGAGCTCAGCCAGGCAGCCAGAGGCACCTGAGCCCAGCTTTCCAAGAGCTCCTTCCTGGGCACTGAGGACCAGGAGGGCTTGGGGTGGGGTGCCAGGTGCACGCTGCAAACTGCTGCCTCAGCAGTTTGGCAGTGGGTGGCTAGACAGATCGCCGAATGTCCAGTTGCTCCTCATGGTGACCTCAAGCTTTTCTCAACTCCAAGGATCCCAGCCAGTGGGGGATGGGTGGGGTAGGGAAGGTCCCCATCTAAGCTCTGCCCTCTGGCCCCAGGGAATGGGAGACAGGGTGTCTCAGGTGGGGGCGTCAGGCAGAGTTCAAGGGGTAACGATCCTCCCTTCTCAAGGCCTCCGAAGACTGCTCTCTTGGAAAAGGGCATGGCATAAACTCCCAAACTCCAGGAGGCTCCCTTTTCTCAGCCACCAGTCAATTACCTTCTCTAACCTGCCCGCTCCCTGCTTCACCTTCCCTCCAACACTCCCCGTGGAAGCAGGTAGTGAACCCGGGCTTGGGGAGGTGCCCGGCGCTCCCTACTTGGCTCACTCCCTGCACCCAGGGGAGGAAAACTCTCCCAATCTTGCGCTGGGGAACCCGCCTTGGCCATGCCCATGCAGAGTCAGTCCTGTAGTGTAGTCCCGCCCTCGAGCCTGGAGTCCCCGCGCTCCGCGCCCCGCGCACTCACCGGTGATGAGCACCGCGCGAGTGGCCACCGGCAGGCGCTGCGGGCGCGCCAGGCGGGACAACGCGATCCAGCCGGCAGTGGCCAGCACGGCGAGTGTGGCCAGCGGGGGCAGCAGGCGCTGGCACAGCCAGTCGAGCGCGGCCAGCAGCGCCAGCGCCGCCAGCAGCGGGCGGCCCAGACGCAGGTCTGAGCGCAGCAGCTGCAGCAGCGCGCGGGCAGCCACCAGCAGCCAGGCGCCGCCCGACGGCCAAAGCCAGCGCTCCATGGTGGCCCTGTGGGCTGGGGCAGGGCGGGGCGGGGAGGGCCGGACCGGGGAGCTGAAAGAGAGCGAGTCGGGGCCGGGACGCCGAGTGCGGGGAAACACCGGCCTGGGGCGCCGGAGGGTCACTGGCTTTCTCCGCTAGCCCTCGGGCCGAGCTTATAAAGAGCCCTGGGGGCGGGGGAGAGGGCGGGGCGCGGGCGGGGAGGGGGTGGGGCTTTCCTCCACTTCTCTCCCAGCACCCTCCGCAGGGCAGGTGCCCCCCCTCCCCTCCCCCTCGATCAGATTCGATTTGGAAGAAGCCAGAATGAAGTCCCAAAGTTGCTGCGCTCGAGGAGCCGCCTGGCTGCGAGACTTGCAGGGAGAGGGCCAGTTAGTCCAGCCCGGGTGCCCGGCCTCCGCTCCCCTCCGCGCCCCCACCCAAGCGCCAGGGGCCGCCGAGCCGCAGCGCTCAGGTGAGCACATGCTGCTCACACTTGCTCGGCACACCTGAGGACACGCACAACTGGCATCCCGGTGCCATTTCCTGATCGCACCGCCGCGGCCGCCAAGCCTGCAGGAACACTGCCGGGAACCAGCCGGTTCTCACCCGGTCCCCTCTGCCGCTGCCGCCCGCGTTCACACACGCGCCGCTCTCCCACGTGGTGCGCGGCGCTAGGTCCCTGGTGCACACACCCTAAGGCGCGCTCACCCCAGAGCAGCTCGCGGCCACAAAACCGCGAGCAGGGGCTGGCGGGGAAGCAGGACGACCGCTCCCAGTTCTTGGAGTCTGTGTCCCGTCTTTCCCTTTCCTTCCAGGGCTTACCTCTGAGGACTGACAACCCGACATCCTGCCTCACAAATGTATGTGTGTGGGGGTCCGTGGGGGGTAGGGTGTCAGAGGAAGCACCTAGGTCTCCCATTACCTATGCCCCACCCCTGCTAGCCTCAAGAGCCAGGCCAGTGGGGCATCATGAAGGCAGCCTCTAGGACAGGGTGGTCTCTGCCTTACACACCTGCACCCCCGGGGGTAAAATAAGTGATATGAGTGTGGGTGGATTTTTCTGCCTGCCTGTGTGAAGGTCTCCATGCTTGTGTGTGGCCCAGTGGCCCCCCACCCTGCCCACCCCCTGTCTGGCACTTTGTGCCTAGCATCCATGCCAGGCACTGGGAGTTGGTGCCAGTACCTGGCGGCAGGCGTGATTCTGAGAGGAGTAGATGTGCCCATCACAGAGGGGTCCCTGCTTCCCATGGGCCTCCAGGCCTTGCTCAGTGCTTCATCCCTGCCCTCTCAAGGTCCTGGGAGGTTGTGAACTCTTTGTCACACCTCCTAGCCCTGTTGCTCATTCTCTCTTAGGTGCCCAGGTTCTGCCAGGGTTTCAGGGCAATGCCTCCTCCAAAGCTCTCTCTGCCACCAGACTCAGCCCCCTGGTGGGCCAGGGAAATATGGGGGATGTGGGGGGCTAGGAGCCAGACCCACCTAAAGGGAGAGGCTCTGGGTGGAGGACCCCTTTTGCCCAGACCCACCCACTCCTGTGCCTTCACCTATCCGTCCTCCTAAGGACAGATGACAGGCGAGCCCTGGCTCTGGGAGGCAGGACTTGAATGAGAAGGGTGTGTGTGTGCCTGACCTTGGGTACACGACCTTGCGTGCCTGTGTTTGTAAACACTTGTGTCCATGGGACTCCATGGCTTGTCCAAGCCATTTGGTTGTGTCACTACCTATGCCATGACCCTGTGTGTGCAAGTGAGTACATTTGTGTGCATTGTGTGTGTTTCTGGTAACTCTCTGTCCTTCGGTCTGGGTCATCCTGACTCTAGAAACTCAGGGAAACATCCTCTTCCAAAGTCACTGATTCCTGTTGCCGTGGATGTATGGCCCAGGCTCGGAGGCAGACACAACGTCCCTGGCCTGACTTCCTGATTTGAGCTGTAGAGCTTGGATTGGCCGGACCCCCCAGCTTTAGCCGCCCCACCAAGAGTCTGGCTGTGGTTTCTCCAGCCTCAGTCCATTAAAGTCTTCCCGTTGGAAGTGGGGGAAGGGAATAGAAGCTGGGATGAAAGTCCTGGGGAGCTTTCAAGGTCAAGGTGACACAGAACCAGCACTTGCTAGAGCAGGTGTTGAAGAGTAGGGGGATGGGGCAGGAAGGCAAGATAAGGACAGAGACAGAAGCAGGGTCCTACGCTGTCCTGGGAGGGAACCGTGAAGGCCACCGTGGGGAGGGAGACTTGCCAGGAGGCGATGTTGGGATTTGCATTTGGCTGAAGAGTATAGGGTGGTTAGGATGAGGAAGGGGCTATTTCCAGCTCAGTTTCTGGAACGTCATGCCACTTCAGGCAGAGCCATTTAGTCTTATGGGATTTGGGTCTTGGTGGGACTGGACCAGCTGCCACATTTTTATATAAACTACCCCCTACCCATTCATCCCACATCCTAGCCCAGGCCTCCTCCTTCCCAGGACCTATGCTGTAGCTCCTGTGGCCTCCTCAGCCGCCGACCCCTTATGCCTTATTAGGCGGAGATGTTCTAGAAGTACAAGGTGGTTAGGTCAGTCATGGCTGGGAGGAGCTACCCCAGCCCTGTCTGAGGCCTGGTGCCAGGTTGTGCCTGCCTAGGGGCAGAAAACCAGCCTCTGCCAGAACCAGGAGTCTAGGCTGTCAGGGGCCTCCAGGGAAGAGAAGGGGAGAGGGGAAATGGGCAGGAGATAAAGCCTGGCAGGGCAGAGAAATGAAGGGTGACCAGGAGCAGAGCCCCTGAGACACTCGCCCCTAAGCCCTCAGCCCACAGCCTCCCTTAGTCCTTTGTCCCAGCCTCCAGCCCTCCTTGGTCAGAAACCTGGTTAACCAAACCCTTAGCGCTCCCCAGGCTCTGGAGGACAGAGGGGTGGGTGAGAGCATGGCAGGCTGGCTCTGGTCTCTTCCAGCGCAGCCCAGCATCTCACTAGCACCCTCTGCTGGCCTTGTAGGGAGAGCACGGCTCTGAAGGAGATAAAGGGCCAGTAACTGACTGGCTGCTGGATTGAGCGGGGAACACATGTCTAAAGTAGGGGACACCAAGTGGCAGACTCCAAGAGCCCTCACACTCTGTCCTTTGACTGTATTTAGGTTCCTGGAACAGGGCAGTCAGCATTCACTTGTTACCTCTTCCTCCCTCTGTAGCTCAGAGGCTGTAGTGTCCCAAGGAGCCCCCACCCTGCACTCTGCTTCACGCCTTCACCTCCACCACGCCTCCACCTCCACCACGCCTCCTCTTGGCACAGTGGCAGAAGGTCCCTCTTCCTGCCAGCAGCCAGTGTCCTGGACCCCATTGCTCCCTGGCCTGAAAGACAGCAAACTTGTATTGAGTTCCTACTGTGTGCTGGGCCCTGTGCTGGGCACCATAGATGTAGCAACTGACGACTGTCCCCAGCAGCAGTGTACTGGGTGCTGGCCTCACCCACTGGGAACCTCAAGCCCCTATCCCTTTCCACAACATTTCTCTTATGGCCGGGCGTGGTGGTTCATGCCTGTAATCTCAGCACTTTGGGAAACCGAGGCAGGTGGATCACCTAAGGTCAAGAGTTCAAGACCAGCCTGGCCAACATGGTGAAATCCCACCTCTACTAAAAATCCGAAAATTAGCCAGATGTGGTGACACATGCCTGTAGTCCCAGATCGTGAGACTTGTGAGACTGAAGCAGGAGAATCTCTTGAACCCAAGAGGCAAAGATTGCAGTGAGCCGAGGTCACTCCGCTGCTCTCCAGCCTGGGTGACAGCAAGGCTCTGTTTTTTTTTTTTTTTAAAAAAAGCATCTCTCTTGTGTTTTCTCCTACTGTTCTCAGCTGCGTTTCTCTAAAGTTGTCTATAATCGCCATCACCATGCTTCCCTCCCCGCCTTTGCTCTGGACCAGCTCCCCCTCCTAACCTAGTCCCCAAATCCCATAGACCCATCTCTGGCTTCAGCTAATTTGGCCTCTTCAAAGCCTCGGCCCTGCTGGCCTCTCTTTCCTTTCCCAAGCCCTGTCTCCCTTGGGTGCCTGTGAAGCCACGGCTGCCGGGTTTCCTCCTACCTCACTGCCTCTCCAGCTTGTCTTCCTTGTGGGTGAAGCTCTGGCTTTGGAAGCCTCACCCCAGCCCTCCCCACACCATGAGCTCATCTTTCTACTCACATGCTGGTGACCTCCCTGCTTGCTTTCTGGCCAAGCTCTCCCTTTTGACCACAGGCCCACATGTCCAGCTGCCCCTGGACACTTTCCCTTGGACACACGTAGGCCCCTCACCTCAGCATGTTCAAGGCTGGTCCTGGCAGCCCTCATGCCCCACTGCATCCTCAGACTTCAAGCCATGCACTGGCCTCCAAATCTCTTGCTGTGTCCCAAGCCCTGGGTTGGGTGCAGATACCTCATCATAGCCTTTATAGTAGGTGTCATCACCATTTTCACATTCAAGGAAGTTGAGGCTTCCAGAGGTGAAGGAAATTGTGCAAGTTCTCAAGCTCAAGTCCACTTGCGTTGGAGTCTTGGACCAGCCCCAAGATTCAAACTCAGGTGTACCTGAACCCAAACTCTGGGCTCTTGAGCACTGTGTTAATACGGGGCTGTGTTTGTCACCTGTGGATCTTAGAGTTCATCCTGAGGGCAAAGGAGAGCTTGGAATGGTTTTGAACAAATGAGACCCCCATCCCAGGTGGCCAGGAAATGGATCTGGGGAAGAGTGGAGGCTGACTATATTATTATTATTACTTAAAAAAAAATTTTTTTTTTGAGATGGAGTTTTGTTCTTGTTGCCCAGGCTGGAGTGCAATGGTGCCATCTCGGCTACCTGCAACGTCCACCTCCCAGGTTCAAGCGATTCTCCTGCCTCAGCTTCCTGAGTAGCTAGGATTATAGGCATGTGCCACCATGCCTGGCTAATTTTTGTATTTTTAGTAGAGACAAGGTTTTTCCATGTTGGTCCAGTGGGTCTTGAACTGCAGACCTCAGGTGATCGCCCGCCTCGGCCTCCCAAAGTGAGCTACAGCGCCTGGCCTTAAGTTTTATTATGATTATTACTTTATTATTTTGTTATTATTACTTTTAGTTAGAGATGGAGTCTTGCCCTGTCACCCAGGCTGGAGTACAGTGGCACAGTCATAGCTCACTGCAGCCTTGAATTCCTGGGCTTGAGCGATCCTGCCATCTAAGGCTTCCATAGTAGCTGGGACTACAGGTGCTCACCACCAAAACTGGCTATTATTTTTTAAATTTTTTATAGAGACAGGGATCTCACTATGTTGCCCAGGCTGGTCGTGAACTGCTGGCCTCAAGTGATCTTTGAAGCTGGGAATCTTGGTTCTGCATCCAGATGAGGGACAGAGTAGAGGTCTGTTCAAACAAACAGAACTTGAGGCACCCCTGAACGTGCAAAGGCTGAGTCCCGAGGCAGGTGGACACCTGTGGGCTCCAGCACATTGCTCCTGTAGCGTGGGAGCCCTGGAGGTTGCTGACTCTCCTCCGAGCACCCTAGGCTTGAACGGAAACCCCCCCATTTTTCAGAGCTATCTCATCTGGGCTGGGCAGCTGGAAACCAGGCCCTTTGGTTATGGAACTGAAGGAAACCTCCTCTCCAGTTACCAGAGAGAAGGGGCAGTAAGACACAAAAAGCCAGGAGCATCACTTGTGTTTTCAGCCTGTGTCTGGCAACCTCCTCCAGACTTTTACTGTCTCCAGGATTAAAGGCAGATGTTTGGGGATTGGGGTCCTTGAGTTTGGGAAACTCAGAGAGAGTATGCTCTGCAGGGCTTTCTGGACCAGTCCCAGGGGGAATGCAAGCCCCAGCTGAGAGACTTGGAGGGAGGGCTGGATTGACTCTGGATGAAATCCTTCTAGGATCGGTCTTGTATTCTCCAGTGTGGCTTTGAGTTATTAATAACTCTCTTTCCACAGTCACTGTGTGTCTGTGGCATGCCAGTCCTTGTGCTTAGCTTGCTTGGTCTTTATTTACTATCCTCACGTCATCACTATGAAGCAGGTACTATCATTATCCTTATCCTATACATAAGGAAATAGGCTCAGAGAGGTTAAATGGCATGCCCTTGGTCACACAGCTGCCCAATCACACGGCTGTTCCTAATCCTCAGAATCATCAGGCCACATTGCCCCCTGGCCTTCAGCCTACAAGGTTGGCATTATTCAGTGAGCAATACCCAGGTGAAAGGCTACCAAACTTTTTTAATTTGCTGCACAATTAAAAACAAGTCTCTCAATGTTGGAATTAAGGCAACTTGATTGTTGAAACTCATTCCAATGCTTTTCTCCTTACAGCTTCCATCACCCCCATTCAGGCCTTTTCTTGGCAGAACAATTGCAAAAGATACAAAAATTAGTTGCTGTTGGCTGGCTGTTTTAATTTATTTGCATATACATAATTCAGCCCCACCCCTGGTGGCTAATACGCCCCCTGGGGAAACTGTGGCTGTCTTCCGATTGCTGGTGGGGAGGCCTGTATGTGTTGTTTTTTTTAAATAAACTGAAACCAGATGGAGGGGGGTTTTGTTCACAGCCTTTCCTACAATTTTCTCCAGCAAATTCCTTGAAAAGTCAACCACCTATGAGTGGTGCCTCTTCTCCATGGAGGTCCCTCACCGCTGGTATGCAAATATCCAGCAGGGTTGATATTTCTCAAAGAAGGAGAAAAAGAGCTTTTGGCCCTAGGGCTTTCCAGAATGCAGGGTCAGCTCCTGGTTGCCCCCAGTTTTAGGTCTGTACTTACAGTTAATGTCCT